GAGAGAGAGAGATGAACTCGCATGGTCTGAACGAACATTCGTGATTATCGTTGAGAATGAAACGTAAAGTCGCGCTAATCCGAAGAAATTGAAATCGGAAAAAGAGAATGGAGAGATAGTATTTTATCGCTCCAGAGGATATATTATTCGAAAATAATTTGATAGATCTTATTTCCAAAGACCCGAAGAAAATCTTTTTCTATTTTATCAGAGATAATGACAAAATAAATTGAATAAATGTAATTATTAAATCGTCGAAAATTGGGCTATCGGATTTATTCATTCGTTCGCCATGAAAGAAATAGAAACCGGAAGGAAATAAAGCGATGACATAGAAGGAAGGAGAAGAAGGGTTAGGGGAAGAAGGATGTGAAAGGACGAGTAAATGGGAGTGAGGATGGAGAGAGATGGAGGACATGGCTCTGATTAGCATGCAAACTACGCACGACGCTTCGTGTTACCTCCGCGTGCCTCGGAAAATTTGTGCGCCATTTGTGTGTCTGTGTAAGAGCCCTCGTATATAAGTCCTATGTATACGTCGTTCGTTTCACACGGGCGTGACAATAACGAGACAGCAACAACGGTTCGCGAACCGACAAGAGAAAATCAGCGAATGAAACGACGAAACCCAAGGTGGTCCCTTTGGAGGGATGAAGTATGCTCGGAAAATATATTCAAAGTGAAGAAAAAGAAAAACAGAAATAGATAGATAGATAAATAGATAGATAGATAAATAGATAGATAGATAGATAGATAGATAGATAGATAGATAGATATATATGTACATAGATAGATAGATGGGAAAGGAAGAATATTTTTTTATTCTATTTTATTGCGATGTAGAAATATCAACCGGTAAAATAAGAGAAAAACAAAAAGAATATTCTATAAAATATAAGAGTCACGTGATTGAAGAGGTACGAGTAAAAAAATATAAGACAGAAAGAAATGACCGCAATGATCGTAAAGGCGAAGAAGAGAGACGCTGGGAGGAGAATGAAGAAAGAAGAGATACCACACAGAAAGAGAGAACGAAAAGAGCGTGGAGATCGCTAACGTTCAAGATACCGCACGGCCGGTGGTTCACCATAATGGCCACCAATTACGATAAACGCGCGAAAACAGGGCCCGCATTGTCGCTTCTCTCTTTCTCTTTCTCTCTTTCTCTCTCTATGGCGGTTAGTAGAGAATCGCTTACCGAGAGTGGAGCGGAACTCAGAGTGCTTGATGCCGATAAAAATATGGCCAAGTAGATGCCTAGCCAGCATTCAATGCTGAGCTCTGTGTGTATCTAACACGCGAACCATCGAAATCGTCTTGGTCTATAGCCGATTCTTTTCTTAACCAGCAAGTTCATCGATCGAACGTCTTTCGATGTTTCCTCACTCTTTTTTCTTTTTCTTTAACATTACTCTTCTCGCATTTTTCCGATCAACATCAATCGTCGAATTCTTGAAAAGAGAAGAAAAAATAGAAAAAAAAGAAGAAGATAATACGTATTATTTTCCAAAAATATTAGTCCCTCTATATCTTATCACTCTTATCACTCTTACATCGATAACATCGTTTAATGGTATTGCTTTGACCTTGTCTCGACAAAAAAAAAAAAAAGAAAAAAAAATGGTTCTCTTTGATATCTCTTCGTTGACGTTTCCTTTCGGCTCTCTTTTGACTTTCATTCTTCTATGTTATTTGTATACTTTATCTTTGCTTTTCTTTTTATTTCCATTTAAATCGAAAGAATTTAAGAACGGCTCGAAGATGTTTCAGAAGTAAACGTTAATGTCCCCTTAGACGTATACGAACTCTCGACTCGGACTGCGTTCGTTCGAATTTACATAATAGCGTGACCGCCTTTTTGGGGGTTCTTGTTAAACACAGAAAGAGAGACGTTGTTTGTCGTTTATAAGTGTTTTACGAGCTGACGTGGAAAGAAACCACCAAGGTTTACGATATTTACTATTTGCGTGGGTCGCCCCTTTATGCTGTCTTTTAACGGAACTTTACACGAATTTCTTCTTTTTTTCTTTTCTTTTTTTTTTTGTTCAAAATATCTTCCTTTTGTCAAATGAGAATGAAAAATGGATATGATTGTCATATAAATAAATTACTTCGATCTTTCGATCTTTTTAGAAAATACTTTTGAATCGTTTACAAAATTCAAACACATTGATCATTTTGATCGAGATATAATAATTTCCTAACATTTGTCTCATAAATTTGTGACAATGATTTCAACATTTCCAATTATATACTACGTCGTCGACAAAATTTGTCCGAAAAAAAAGAGAATCGTAAATTATAAGTGTCATTGTAATTAAAGTATAATATTTATTATAATAAAATTTCAATTATTTATGAATCAATTAAATATATAAAGTAAAGTTTGGAAAATTTAATAATATACAATATATGATATATTAAAATTTAACTTTGAATTTTTATTTGAAACTTTGATATTTTTTTCTTTTTATTTGAAACTTTCTTATATATATATACATGTGTATGTATCCAAGTGGCAATAAGTACTAAACTTCGCTTTTGTAAAATATCATCATATTAGATCAAATCGTGCTAGAAAGAGTATATGCAAGTGGGTTGAACCTATAAGAGCGGCGTAAATCTTCTGAGTGGGTTATGTGTGAGAATAGATATAGAGTACACGCATACTACTCTTTCCTTTTTCTATCTACCAGACGATCATGTTTTCTCTCTCTCTCCCTCCTTCTACCCCCCCCTCTCTCTCTCTCTCTCTATCTATCTATCTATCTATCTCTTTCTTAGTCTAAAAGACAAGGAATAAGAAGAAGAAGAAGAAGAAGAAAAAGAAAAACCAAGCGATGCTTCAAGAACATCATCTCGTTTGCAGATTATCAGAATAAAGTTGCCGTCTTATCCGCGACAGCACTAAAACGCACTCTTTTCCATCCCTTCTCTCATCTAATAGAACGATTTATATTTCGTTAATTTAACACCCACTAGAATGTCGATGATGCATCTTATTTTTGAACTCATAGTCCTTTAAAAAGGAAAAAAAAATATCATATCATGAATCATCTTAAAAGAGCTCGATTACGTAAAGATGAAAAGTTTTCTGTATTTTTATTTGAGAATGAAAGAGACAAAAAAGAATGGATGAGAGAAAAAAAAATTGTAACCGAAAGGAAAATTATTTTCTTTTCTTTCCTTTCCTATGATCCATACATAATCCAGCTTTCTCTTTCGCACGTACGATCGAAATTGTTGATCATAGAAAAGTTGAAATATACTTAAGCGTTTATGTTTCTTGTTCGGCACGAATTACGAGAGATCGTCGATCGTTTATGTGTAAATAACGTCCGTTTAACCGACTTCTTGTTTTATCGTTAGAACGATATAAAGTAAGTGTGTTCTTGCGACGAACACATGATCGCGTGACCGTCTCCCTCCACCCATCCCTCCCACTCATATCGTAGTATCGAGTTAAAATGGGTTAAACGAGTTACCATATCGTAGGTGAACGAGGGAAGCGGAGATTAAGATCCAGCTAAACTTAACGGAGACTTTACTAAATTTGACGCAATAGTTTGCTTTAACTTTCTTGAGATCGTAAACCCGATTATTTCATACTACCTAATGAAGATAAATTACTATACCGTTACGGAGTTAATCAGATTGTTTTTGGACAAAAACTAATTCCCTTTCTCTCTCTCTCTCTCTCTCTCTCTCCTCTCTCTCTCTCTCTCTGTGCGTCTTTTATCATACATATATACATAGAACTTACCATTTAACGTCTAGATGTAATATAATGATTTAAGAAAAGGAAAGAATTCGGTTCGAAAGTGGAAGCGTTAAATCTTGAAAGTCATTACCGAACAAGGATGGAGGGTGAATTTTTTTGGATCGAATTCGAGTGCCGATGACGTACGTTCTATCCTCGGCTTTCTACAACAGCCAATCTATCCTTCTATTCCATTTCACTTCCTTCGTCTTCTCTCACCACTACTTTGGGGACACAATGAGACCCTCCTCGTCGATGGTCTCTCGAACACTTGAAATATGGTTACAAGCCGAACGACCTCGAGACCGGGAACACCTTACGATGTCCGACCGGAATGAAACTTAGATTTTATTGCCAAGAGAACCCTGAGCTCCAACGATGACCTCTACCAATTTTATGTACGATCCGATATCCACCACGTACTCCTGTTTTCGAACATACGTCCAATATCATTCCAAGCAACGTTCTCTCCTGTCTCTATGAGATTATGGATCTTTTCTCTTATCCTTATTCTTTTATCCTTCCCATCCTTTCCGTTCTATCGTATCCGGCCTTTTCATTTCGGAAATATTCTTCTTAATGGTAGAATGACCGCTCAATGATTGTTCCAAAATTTCTCTCATGGTACTACGAATATAAAGTGTACTTTGGTTTCTCGAGTATCGAGAGTTGATAGCCAGTAATCCACGCGAGTGTTTCTAGTGCTACTTTAAATATCAAATTTTCTCCTGATTGCCTCTTATCGTCTCTCTCTCTCTCTCTCTCTCTCTCTCTCTCTCTCTCTCTCTTTCTCTTTCTCTTTCTCTTTATCTCTCTATCTTTGTCTTTATCTCGATCGATTTAAGTATACATAGTAGAATAATAATTGACCTTAGTATTTACTAATTATTCGAAATGAGCAGCGAAATAATCCCTCAAATCATTGATTAAAAAGGTCAAAGGTTAATTATCGGTTAAAATTCCAATGGAATATCATTTACATGAATTAACTTCACCGGGGAAAGGTTACGGTGAAGTTTTATAACGAGATAATACTTTTCCCGTGTACTCGTGGATCCAGTTATCTCGAGTTTAATACGTTTGATTCGGATTTTAGTAGAAGGACTAAAAACTATCAAAATAACTTTTCTTTTGCTAATCGTATTTTTTTTTTTTTTTTTTGGATATCGTAAAGCCCCGATTTACCCGTGTAAAAATGATTTTATAATTAATTTTAATATAAACATTAAGTTGTACTCACTTCCAAAAAACAACAGAGACGATAGCAGCCATCAGAAGAAGGACCACCGCACACGTAATAATCAGGGCAGTGCTTTGTAGCGACGGATTCGTGTGATAAGATGCGTCGATCATCTGAAAAGAAAAAAAGTATTGATTATATATAATTAGTCGTAAGAAACGATCATTGGAATTCATTACATTATTTTATTATATATCAATTTTCTGACAAAGTTCATATGAGTTCATTTAATACTGTTGAACATGGAGTTAATTAAGCTCTTTGTGTAACTAAGTAAAAGAAATAAAATTAAAAGAAAAGAAGTAAAAAAGGAAAAAAGAGAAAAGAAAAGGAAAGAAGAAAAAAAAGAAAAGGAAAGAAAAAAGAAAAAGTAGAAAATAAGAAAAAAGAAAATTAGTAAGAACGAGTAAAAGGGAAAGCAAAAGTAAAGAGAGATGCAAGGACGAAAGCAAAGTAGGAGGACAGGAGAAGGTGGATCTCCGCTTTCCTTAATATTAATTACCGCCTGCTAATTACTTAATTTATTTAAGCTTTCACGTAGTAAGATTTTTACATTACAACTCGGACGTGCGACACAAAGGGAAAGCACCACGATGAAAAAGTTAAATAAAAAGTTTTTTAATTTTTCTCTCTTAAACGTATTCCCGGCGGTCTTTCGTGCTCTGGAATACGGTGTTGATAATTTCCCGCGAAAAAGTCGAAGACCTGAATGTACGTCGTGAATATCATGAAGAAAAACTATTCGTTGACTTTATTACAGAAAACTCAATGATATTAAAAATTAACGATTACCTTTCCGAGTATAAAAATGATTTAATATGATATTTTGTAAATCTTTGATCTCTCTTTTTGATCTCATTGACCCTTTTACGATATATAAATATTTTTCTTTTTTTAATACGTTGACTTTTGACGACTTTTTTTCCTTTTTTCTTTTCTCTTTTTGAACTCGAATATGCGTGAAAGAAAAAAACAAATATCTCATTCGTATTTAAAATTAAAATCTTTAAAAATTATATAAAAAAGAATTATGAAAATCATTAAAAATATAATCAAAAATTTTTGGAAAATCATACTTTTCTACGTACTTACGTTAATTTAATGTTAAATAAAATCTATCCTTTCAACGCTTTTCCCGTCGACATAGACAAAGCGACTGGATTCGATCTCGAGAGAATAATTAGCGATACGCCGGACGTTATATGAAAAAGTAAACGAAGTAAACTTGTATCATAAATTGGTTTCAAATACAAACTCACGTGGAAATGATTAAGGTCGAGCCAGCCATCAACGCATTCAACAAAAAAAAAAAAAAAAAAAAAAAAAAAAAGAAAAAAAAAAAAAAGAAATAAAAAAAAGGAAAAAGAAAATTAGCATCCCTATCTAGAAGCGAGGATCCTTTGTCAGTACGATTGTTAAACGAAATTACGAACTCAATGCTACGCGTTTTCCAGATACTCGTTAAAAGAAATGAAAGAGAAAGGGATAGGGAGAGATAGATAGATAGATAGAGAGAGAGAGAGAGAGAGAGAGAGAGAGAGAGAGAGAGAGAGAGAGAGAGAGAGACCGAATAGAGAGAGAACAAACGCGTTTGGAAATAGCGATCTCGAGAAGACGGACATCCCAAGCAATTAATACAAACTTCATTGATATAACAAAATAAAACTAAAAGTTTCTATTAAAGGATACGATGAATAGATCGAAGAAAACGATTTTGACAAATAAATACAATATATATGGATAGATGACGGATATATATATATATATACATGATATATTCTTTTCGAAAAAAAAAGGAAAGAAAGAAAAAAAAAAAGAGCAATTAGTCAAGCGATGATACATTTACGTTATATCTTCGTAAATACATACATTCGCCATTTTTCATTTATGTATAACGATTTCGGAAAAGAAAGAAATCAATATCGTAGACAAAAATTCATTTTCCTCGATTAAACTGACATAAGAAAATTATATCGGTCCCTTCTCCCCCATTCTCACCGGACGCGATAACGTATTGGTTTAACTTCCGAGAATTTCCAGGGTTAAAGCGTAACCAATAACATTGAATCTTGGCGGGTATCGTGATAACACGTTTGTTACTTTTGAAGCCTCAATTGAAACTTATTTTCGTCTATCTTCTAACAACAGTATATCATCCTCGATCGTTCGATCAAACGATACTACGAACGATATTACGATAATATATGTGAATCTATTGAAAACGAATACATACGTACATACGTAAAAGTACATTGTATGCAGACCGATCGAACACAAGGAGCTTAGAAAGAACGACGACGGAACGGTGCCCTAGAAGGAAGAACAGCAAGCGAAGTACAGTAACGGTAGTGGTTGGTTGCAAAGCGAGGAGGGTTGATATCAATGGATAGTGCTCTGGGTGGCTCGTGTTACGTGTCGCGCCTACAAAAAGGGAAAGTGATTTTCATCCAGTGGGGGAAAGAGAATTTGCAGGAAGGAGAGACTTCCTTCTCGAAGAGTATAATCCACTACTATACCTATGTATACGGCAAGGTAGGTAACCAAGCAAGGAAGTAAGGAACAGCCTCCGTCCTATCCCTCTCTCTCTCCTATTCCTCGTCTCGTCGATTCTTCGAAGCTCATCGATCGATGGTCTTGGTTGGCACTATATACGAGGCAGGCGTTTACCTGCCTCGGGAAAAGGTGATAAAAGCCGAGTGCTCTGCTATTGGAATAACAAGGATAGAACTATCCACGCGCCAGCAACTACGTCCTTTTACTATCACGATAAAGGCATGCTTGTGGAGAGGGAGAAAGAGAGAGAAAGAGAGAGAGGGAGAGAGAGAGAGAGAAAGAGAGAGAGAGAGAAGGAAGCGGAAGAAGATAGGGTGAGAATATGCCGCGAGATAGAATATATTGTGTTACTTGTCGTTTGGCGTCGGCCCAAGAAAAGCAACATTTATCAAGGAGGAGTTCACACGCACACTACGCACTTCTTCGCGAATGACTTTCTTTTTCCTCTTTTTCCTTCTTCAAGGAAAACTCTCTGTCTCTCTCTCTTCATCTCTTTTCCTTCTATTCTCCTCGTCTCACTTCGATGAAAACAGCACATTTCCCTTTTTCCCTTTTTCCCTTCCTCCTCTCTCTCTCTCTTTCTCACTGTCTATCTATCTGTCTGTATGTCTGTCTGTATGTCTCTGTCTCTCTCGCTTTCCCCTCTTTCTCTTTTCGTCTCATTTTCTCTTTGGACCCTAGCGAAAGCTCATCGCTCATCATTACGGAGATATTAATGGCGTCGGCTAATGGATTCAGCCGAGAGACTACCGCCCAGTAAGAGAATCTCTTCCTTTCTATTATATGCCTATACCTCCCACTCTTCTTCTCATTCTCCCTATCTTTCTCTTTCTCCTCCTCTTTCTTCTCCTCTACTTTTTTCTCCTCCTCTTCTTTCTCTTGCTTACCATGTTTTTTCTTCCACTCACGGAGAAATTTGGAAAATAAAGCTACTCAGAAATGATATATCGCCTTTAGCGTTGGTTTCTAAGCAAAGCTAGAAAGATATATATATATATATATGTATATATATATATGTACATATATGGAAAGAGAGAGAGAAAGAGAGAGAAAAGTCGAAATAGCGTAGAAAAGGAGGTTTCTTCATTCGGAATATCGTTCTCGTAGAGGGGTGCGAACGAAAAAAAGTAGAATGGAACGATGCCAGGAAGGAAAAAAATATTTATCTTTCGATTTTATATGAGTGAATTGTACATAAGAATTTCGATGAGTCTGCTACGATGAGTTTGCCATGAAACAAACCTATCTGAAAAGAATTCGAAGGGAATATGATGGAGTAAAAAAAAAAAAAAAAAGAAAAAAAAAGAAAAAAAATTATCGGGAATAGAACAAAAAATCATTTCGAGAAAAATTAACAGCGATACGACGAAATCGACTAGGAATAATGGAAGTTCCCGTTGTATTTTCTTTAGTATTATTCTATGCAACGGAAATATATATATACTCGAGTTTGCGTTTAACTCCCGCGAGATATCCGTGCATTTACCTAATGCAACACGGAACGACGGGAATGAGAATGAAAGCTGATGTTACCGTAACGAACTGTTAGATAAAGGATACGTAAATATCTTTTCTTATTTAAACGTTTGAACGTATTTATTTGAACAAGTATATTGAATTTATGAAAATATCTCTAACAACAATATTTTCCTTCTTGTTTTTCAAGTGAAATGCATTTGAATACATATCAATATTGTTATAAAAATATTTTTTAATAGTTTTCAATTAACAAATTTCTTTCGTAATTTAGGTATAAAAAGGGAGGGGGGGGGGGGGAAGAAGGAACGTGAGAATAGTAAACAGATCTCAGTACTGCTTTCACTTATCTTTTATAAATTCTTAAGTAATTCATTTCTATTCCTTGTACATTATCATTTGCAAGAGAGAAAAAATGGAAGAAAAGGACCGTGAATCATTTAAAGAAATCATAGAGTTAAATCAATGGTGATATTTCCTGAAAATGAAGGAAGCTCTATCGTATGCGTCCTGGTGTATTCTCATAGCTGAAGATCGCCGAAAATCCACTGTAAAAGCTATAGAGAATGAAACCTGAAATGATGTTATTGTTTTGATGACGATGATTATAGTGGAAAAAAGAAAGGAAAACAAAAAATTGCACTCCGCTTACGTTTGTGTACTCTTCCAATCTTTATGTATCGAAGTTCTCTTTATCTGATCTCATTTTATCTTAAAAATTAACAATAAAAAAAAGAATTGATAAAGATTTTAATTCTTTTATTATTTTTAAATTTGCAATTGAATATTTCTACAAAAAAAAAAAAAAAAAAAAAAAAAAAAAAAAAAAAAAAATATTAGAATACTTTCGAAAATTCTATTAAATCATTTTTACATCTTTTACAACAATATTTATACACAAAAAATGTTCTTAGATTCTGCGTTATTAATAATCGTTAACGCAATTTAAATTGTTATTATAAAATAATAAATTTATATAAAACGAACAATTCAAACAATTGGATTGGCCGATAAGCAATATTGAAATTTTTATTAATTTATATTTAAATAATTTATATTAAATAAAACACTAATATTTCCTATT